CAGACAGACAGAGACAGAGAGACTGAAAGCGAGAAATCACCTCCCAGGGGGGATGGCCACGCCGCAATCTCTTCTCCATTCTCCTCCCGGGACCTTGGGTATGCACGCACACGCGCCCGGCGTGAGTTTAAGCCACCGGGTCCAGGACTCGAACCATGGTTGACTATGTGGGAGTCCAGCAACATAGTCATCACACTAACTGCTGGTCCCTGTGGTTATCATTTTGATCTTCTGTTTGGTCTCAATAAGCTCTTTAGTGTTTTTTGGGCTCTGCATCTATACTGGCCCACCAATGGCATGGAACTCAAGATGTTGCAAATTCTCAAAAAGGATTGGAGAACTGGATTGATATGAGATTAGGTGAAACCTTTCCTTCTTGCATCAAACAAAGCTATTTTTTCCTGGACTGTTACTAGTGTCCATGAGGACTATATAGGAACTATAAATGCCAGAGTTGCTTTCTCACCCTCCTCAGTGATGTATAAAATTACTTAGAAATGGCTGCACTATTGTATTGGTGGCTATCTAAGAGATGTGTGTTTAACTATTAAAAATCACATAACTCCCAAAGAATCATTTTGAAATGATTCTGCTATGTCCATTTTCTGTGCAGATGGTGCTTCATCCCAGAATACTACAGATAGTATTGCTTAACTCATCCTTTCTTGAGACCAGCAGATGGCATGGTGGTTAAGGTGCTGGATACTCCCATATGGCCGACCATGGTTCGAGACCTGGTGGCTTGCTTTCTGTCTGTGACTCTCTCTGGTCAAATTAAAATAAATGAATGAATAAATAAAATTAAATTAAATAATTCTTTAAAAAAATCCTTTCTGAACAGCTGAGTATTGGAGGGGTTAGGTCTTATGGATAACTTTTTAAAGGAGGAATTGTTTCTTTCTACTTTACAAATTATATGTTTGAAATGTTATTTGTAATTTTAAAATAATAGATGTAAAACTAAGATCAAAACTGTCCAGTCTGGCTAGGTAGAGAAATATTTAAAATATTTCAGTGATTACTTTTAGGATAGAAATAGAGAAATGACAGAGTCAGTATTTGGTCACAGTGTCAACCAAGTAGGAATTGAAAAAGTGAAATTATTTTGATTCCACAAAGACATGAACAGAAAAGCACCATATAGAACCGTAAATATTCAGAAAATGTCCAGCCACATTATTCAGTCACTCATATCTTTTACAGTCACAAAACAAAAGTACATTTTTTTCTATTAGAAAAAGTTGAGAATTTTTGTACAAAACCTACCAATACTTGAAGCGGGTGCCATGCACAGTATTGGCCCTGTACACCATGCAGAAAAGCGTGGCAAGTAAAGAAAAGAGATATTTGATTATTAAAGCTTTACTGAGAGAAATAAATTTTAACGAAAGAGATATTTTCTTGCAATATCAATTAATCAGCACATGCAAATCCAGTAATCTCCCATGCTTACAATTATGGATTAGCTTTAGGATCACAAACCCAGGTAATCAAAGTAATTCTTGGATTCTTAGGTAGAAAAATGAACTTTAATTTTTCTTTCAGGGAATTACCTTAAATTACACATTTCTTTCGGACGAGTACATCCTAAATAATTTTATCATAAAAAGGAGAATTCTAATTTATAGCACATAATATTTTCAGAATCTGCTCCAGGGTCTGGTGTCTGGTGCCCATATTTCTACTTAGAGCATTAATCTAGTCACACTACCTTCTCCACCTCATTGTATCTGAGGGCCTGACTAGGAATATATGGCAAATAGGCTTCCCATTACCAGGGAGCTCTCAGCTAACAGGTTTTTGTTTTGTATGGGGAAGGGTATTTTTCTGATATTTTGGCTTATAAATCTATATATTATGTTGGCCAAATCTAGTCAAAGGAAATTTAAAAAGCCTGTTTTAAATAAAGTAACTTGCATGATTGAGAAAACCTAAAATGAATAACAAACATTTTTTTCACATTTGACTGCCTTAGCTAGACTTCCTAGGTTATGAAGCAGTCAATGTGGAATGCGTTCACAGTTGACTGCCTTAGCTAGACTTCCTAGGTTATGAAGCAGTCAATGTGGAATGCTCTAAAGTGTAGGTAAATTATCAGTTATTGAAGAAAAAGACATTTCAGAAATAAAAGCATCTCAACCCACACATGTTTTCTCTTTTACTCTATGGATATTAGGTTTTTCCTGGTTTGGGGAAAAATTCTGTTAGACGTGGTTACTTTTTATAACTATATATTAAAAAGTACTAAAGAATTCCATTTTCCCCTCAGAAACGATTACATAAATGTGTACAAATTGTCTAATTTAAATGATGTCATGAAGAACTATTGTGGTTAGTAATTAAAGAGTGATTACTTACAGTTTCTTTTCAATTTAATCCACCAATTAATTTACTAAGTAACCAATGGGTTTTTTTCTCAAGTTCATATGTACAATGCTACATTGTTTATATAATTGAGGATTTCTAAGTTAATTTTTGAAGCATATGTTATTTTCATTTAATAGTTTTGTGAGAAATCACCCCCCAGTAGGGAAGGCCACTCCACAAATCCTTCCTCCTCCATTCTTCTACTGGGATTTTGGGCATGAATGCACAATTGCCTGGAGTGATTTTCAAGCAACCAAGTCCAGGGCTTAAACCACAGTCAGTCATGTGGAAGTCCAGTACCTTAACCACCACATCACCTGCTGGACCCTATATGTTCATTCTTAAAATACTAAACTACAGCAAGAAAATTATTTACCCCATATATGAAATTTGTTTTTACAAAATTCTGGTTTAAAATATTCTACTCAACTTGGTACAAAAATGTTATGCTATCATACATAGTTGAACATAGGTGATAACAAACTATGCTATGAAGTTTCAGAAAACATAAGCTGCTATATCTTTTAGCTATATTTTTCTATTAATTGCTATAAGAATTAAAGGATAAAACTGGTTTTATATAATATACTGTATTATTTTATACTATAGTATAAATTTGAGTATGGTTTTATTATACCTACATTTACCATATCAACTCAATACGGACTACAGATATTTGTAATGCTGGATTTTTTTTTTTTTGTGGCTGACGATTGTGTGAACATGATACCTAAGAGTCAAGGAATTAGTTTGAGATTGAACCAAGTGAATTAATCATAAGAAGCAAAAAAATAAGAAACACAGTAATAGGGAAAATGCTGGTATTTTCTCCTAGTTTAAATTTAAACCATTAATTTTCAGGGATTACAGAGAAAACAGAGGTTCGAGATAATAGCAGAACAAGCATAACTGCCTTATCTTATTTCTAATAAAAATATATGTGGACAGTCCTCCCATAAAAGCTCTTTGGAATTTGCTTTGCATTGCATACATTCATAATGTCACTAAATAGGCAGTACCCAGACCTGTGTTCTCTCACCTGGAGGGAAAAATGCTGGCTGCGGGAGCTGCAGGTTAGTCATAGCCTGTTGGCAGTGGAAAACACTGGGATTAAAGACTGGGGTGGCACCACTGGTCTTTTCAAGTGCCGATCTCTTTGGTATCAGTTGAAGTGCACCAGGCTGTAGGGTCTGTGAGGGAGGAATGGATTCATAACTTACACCGGAGAAAAAAACAAAACAAAACTAAACTAAAAAAGAATGTACTCGCACTGAGCAAGCATGGCTAAGAATCCTCTGCAAAGGTATCCATTGAGCAAGACATTCAGTAAGAAGTGGCCCCAAAACCACGTGACCAAATGTACAGATTAAGCAATACACTGGATGAATAATCTGTTCAAAACAGAAAATCAAATTACAAGAGAAAAGAAAAACTTTCAATTTCACAAACTAGATCTCATTCGAGCAAGATGTGGTAGAAAGCTACAACAGTGAATAATCCTTTGAAATTAACATCTCAGGGAAGCTCATTTATTAGTCTATTAAAATGAGATTAGCAGATACCACAGACATAGCAGGAAAGAGATTTCTGTCCGTTAAAATTCTAACGCAGATCTAGTAGATAAATGGTATGTAGGTAATAAAACGGATATTGGTGAATCAAAGGCTGATACTTCAACCCCATAGAACCAAATCCAATTTATACAGAGAATTCAGGTTCAAATACTACAACTGTGTATTTTCTGAGTAGCATGTAAGGAAGAAGCAAATGAGGCCCAGCCTACTAATGCAGTAAGTAGCAAACTGAACTGCAGAGCGGAGGCCACATGGTCACCTATGGGTTCAGATCCTTGAGTTGCCCTGAAAACATGAACTTGTGTGCGCTCAGGATCTTGATGAGCTACAGTGCTGGGGAAAGGGTAATGAAACCTCCCCTTCTGTTATGCATACACATGTGCTCTTGCTCATGAATAAAATATACAAACTTTACTTAAAAAAAAGAGAAGCAAATAAATCATTCCTCCTTCACCACCTAGCTTACCCACAGTTACTTTACTTAGCCAAATGGATTCAGTCCTTATTTATAGAGGCTTTCTATACACTTTGGTATGTACCATGTGCTTTATTAAGTCCTTGTAAGATTTAATTCTAAAATCTACTAGCATTTTAAAAATCTGCCTTCTGCTTTCATGTCTTCATGTCTTTTGACAATCCCACTGTGCTTGTAATATTCCATCAAACTTGAGCCTGTATCAAATTCGCTGGAGGAGTTTAACAATATATATATATTTTTTTTTCTTAGCAAATTGTATATTACCTGAAGAACATGTCTCAGCAACAACAATTAGGTATATTCCACATTCTTGAGGAGATGGAAAACATGCTGAATAACTAACTAGTTTTCTGTGTGCCAAAAGAGGGCATGCCATGACCTTCTCTCTGTCTTTTTTTTTTTAAAAGATATTATTTATTTTAAGGGAGAGAGAGAGAAAAAAAAAAAGAGAGAGAGAGAAAGACAGCACCCCTGACAGGGTCCAGAGCCACAATCTACCCTGGACCTCAGTTGGTTACAGATCATGGGCACATGTGTGCCTGCTATACTCTGGGAGGTTTCCAGATGCAAATCTGGAACCTTCCCTGTGGGTCAGAATTGCAGAGCATCACATTTTACCACTACATCACCCTCTGGCCCCATGCCACAACTTCCTTATTCCTGTGGATAATGTAAGCCTAAAGATATCTATTTTCTTTTGGGAACTCTGCTGTCAGTGCAAACAGTGTGTCAGCTCTGCTTTATATTTCTCCTAAATGAAGAAAAGCATGACAAGAAATGAAAATGAAGAAAAACAAGGTAGCTTTAGACATATATAATTTCCAAATTTATATGAGGACTTGATGGCAAAGGTCAGGACTAAAATCATAAACTGGGGACCAGCAGATTACATAGTGATTACATTGCTCTACTTCCATGTAGTAGACTGTGGTCCAACTCCTGGACCCAGCAACTTAAAACTCATGCCAAGTGCACATGTGTATGTGCGTGCCCACCCAAAATCCCGAGAAGAGAATGGAGAAGGGATTGCGGCATGGCCATCCTTCCTGGGGGGTGATTTCTCACTTTCTGTCTCTCTCTGTCTCTCTGGTAAGCACACACACCCTATAGCAAAAATCTCTCTCTAAAAAAAATAATAAATTGTAAAGTGAAATTTATCTTCTCAAGCGTCTTTATCACCATTGGGGAAAAATGGTTCCAATAAAGATTTTAAGTGAGGATGATAGAAAACTTTATGTGGTTATTTAAGATTTCCTTTCATTAGTGAGGTAGGGGGTTCTTTCTCTTAAAAGTCAGGAACACAGCATAAGCATCAGAACCACAGTTATGTTACCTACGTCGATTACAAATTGGGACAGAGTGTAGATTGACATTCAACTGCTAGACCATGGTAAGATATTCACCTTTCTTGTTTACTGTGAGGTCTAACTTGATAGGTTAGTGCCCAGTTGTGATTGGGTGGTGCTGATATTACTTAGCACATATTTTTGCTATCAACACTGGTCAGAGCCTTAAGAGCTTCATCACAAACTCACAAACTTTTCAAAGACGTATTAAAGATAACCCTCCAAGTCTTTTGCAGGGGAAAAATCCCTTTTACAAGGCATCTCCAGTCTGAATCCTTAAAACAATGAAAAACTTAAACTTCTTCATGAGGCCCTTACTTAATCTTACCTCAAATTCCTATGGGCTAATTTGGCCTTGCCACTAAGAACTCAACTTTAATCAGTTACTCACAAAAGAATTTTATATTGACATTTACAAGTACCTTTTGACCTTTTGAAGACCTACTATATAATCTTTAGCTCTAAATGGAAATTTAGATCTGGTTTTCTTAACTACTATCTGCAAGGTCAGCCCACATTTTGGTTCTTTAATTGGCCCACAGTATTTTGGAGAGACAGAGACAGAGAGAGAGAGAAAAAAATCCCCCCAAGGGGGAATGACTATGCCACATTCTCTTCACCATTCTCTTATCAGGAATTTGGGCCCACAAGCATAAACACTCAGTGTGTTTTTCAAGTTGCCAGGTCCAGGACTCAAACCACCGTTGTCCATGTGGAATTCAGCCACCTTAACCACTATGCCACCAGCTGGCCCAAAGAAAACCTTCTTAATAGGGATGAAAATAAATATTTCTCTTTTGTTAAAAGGCAGGGTGCCTGTGATGAGAGTCAGAACTATAAATGTACACGAGGAGATTTAGCTCACACTGCATCTCCTAGGCTTCTGAGTCATATAAGTGCTTTTTCCATAGCCAGAGAACATAAGGTTTTCTTCAAGGTTTTGTCCCACATTGTAATTTTTATATTGAAAAGATATACAAACATGAGAAAAGATTCAGGTAGAAAAATAAAGAAATAGGTTCAGGTAAAAAAAAAAGACAAAAATAGCAAGCATCATCTCAAAATAATTGACAGCAGTGCCTCAAAATTTCTATTTCTCAACTTCTCATGCTGTAGTGTTACACAAACATATTTCTATTTTCTACCATGCAGTGTTTAAGTAGAAGTAACCTTTCTCTCCCCACCACACAACTGACTTACTATTATTAGGGCCTCTTCTCCCAAGCATACAGAAATTTCCTACCAGCCTTAGCAAGCTCACACTATGTCTCCAGAATAGCAAGGTAACCTTAACCTTCAGGAAATTAAAACCTACTTAGTATTCCATCTTTCAAGTGCTCTGTTTTTGAAGGGCATTAAAGATGTTAGTAGCAAAGTGCCCATGGAAGTGGCTTGTAGAGCAGAGAGGCAACTTTCTGCCTTCTTAGAATATTAAGGGTAGTTAGACTATAAAAAGCACTCAAAAATAATTTACTGTTTAAATCATACAATATACCCTTTCCCTGAAAATGGAAGAAAGAGCACAGTCAGTTGAAATGATTAGTAAAGCTTTTAAATAATTATCTTTAGAAACTCTTAGTAAATAAAGGAGAATGAGTAATTTTTCTCTTTTCCAGCTAATAACCTTCATTGTTCATATTAAGGTCCACTCATGACCATCCAATATTATGGGTACAGGATATTACAGAAATTGAGGAACATATGAATCATTTACCGTAAAAGAGACAGACTGTAAGTCCAGGCCTGGTCTTACCATTGCCGTGGCAGCAGAATGGTTCATCTGGTGATGAGCAGCCTTGAGTTTGGCTTGCAAGTGTGCAGGAGGATGAAAGTACTTGCACTTCTCCCGGGAGCATCGACCTTTGATATAATCCATGCAGATCGTCACAGTATTATCACTAGCTTCAATCATGGAAACATCTGTAGGGTGTGCATAGCGGCAATCATGCTCCCCACGGGTACAATTTCCACGCTGAAATTCTCGGCAAACCTTAAAGAGGAAAAAACAAACACACACATCACGTTGATGACTGGAAGGTGATTGGCTCTGATTTATTTTGCCAGTGGTTGCAAGAGTGATCGTGTACATCTTGTCTTTCATTTAGGGAAAATCTAAAAAGACACAGAATAATGTAAAGCATATTAACTATCAGATATAAGCATTGACAGAATTTCTATCCTTGGAACAAAAATTTCCCTTTTCCTCAAAATAAAGTTGTGTTTTCTGCACAGTGAAATAACACTGCTTAAAAGCATTCCTGAAAACTGATTTTAATTCACCAGTAAATATGCAGCTTCAAGTGTAAGTTTGAAAAGTTGTAGAAGGCTGAGATGAGTCTATCATGCAGCAATACACTGACGGTTTTCCACAGGCAGCTTGTGAACCATGACTGAATAACACGTACGATCACATTCCATTGCAAAACGTTGCCAGGCAGAACACTGCCAGGCATTTTTGGGGCTGTTAATAGAGCTGACTTTGCAAGAAATGAGCTAATTATTGATTTCAATGTACAAAAGAATAAGTAAGGAAAGGCTGAAGAATTTTAATAAATAAAAAAGCTGTTTGAAATTTCTTTTACATTTTCTCTTTTTGTTTAGGGCCTGAGGAATAGTTTTTATCTAGTATATCATTCTTAAAATGGAAAAAAAGGTTTAGACATAGTAAGACTCATTTACATTCTTCATTTACATAATATTACATTTTGTAATTGTTCAAAGTTAGATTAATCTATTTTTTTCAGTTCGATTATTCTACCTATTAGAGACTCATTAACAAATATAGTAATCTCATTCTGTAAAACTGGAGTCTGGTACAGGGAGCGTTCCCACACAGACTTCCTCTCCGTAGCACAGTGTTAAGACTGGTTACACTTAAAACATTGTTTGACTTACTGGACAACTGAAATGATGCACTTCATAACAGGCTATAATTGCAGTAGTAAAGCATTTAACGTTTTTCTGAGGTTATACACCATAAGCTAAAAAGTTTGAGTCTGGACCCAGTCGTGCCCCAAATCCCAAGACGAAAATGAAGGGTCTGCAAAGTGGCACACCTTGGAGGAGGGTACTTTCTCGCTCTTTGCATGCCCTCTGCACCCCTCCCCCCATCTTTGTTTGGTGAGTGCATGCACCTTATACCAAAATTAAAAAACAACAACAAAAAAAAAACCTTGGGTGCACTTTTAAAAAACATTCAATATGTTGGGCTATGAGAATGCTACTTTTGCATAAGGTGCATACAAGTACACCATCCTATGAGTATTTATATATTTCTTCACAAATACCTCCAGTTTATCTGAACGCATCAGTTTTGGACCAGCAGCTCCTGGCATTGCGAGAGGTGGGTTTCCAGGAATCAGAACCGGTGTATTTGGTAAAAATTCAG